ATTTAGCAGATCTGGCTTGATGCGTGACTCAAAGTAATTATTGTGCACCTTGGAGAAAGCTGGGACAGGGCGTTAGAGTTACAGGGGATCTGCTCAGACACTCGAGCTCAGGAGATCTGCCCGGAGCCTGCCAGCTTGGAAAGCAACCCAAACCCATCAGCTCCCTGCTCCCTACACCCAAACTGGGAGGCCAGATGGGAACGGGTTAGTTTGAAGCTGTGGGTTCTTCAGCCTCAACCAGGGGAGTGCTCCCCTCCTGGGGCCATCCACCTAGAAGGATGGTTCTGTTGTCTGCAGAAGGCGTGAGGGAGGGAGCATTTTCTACAGTTACGGAGACGCATCCTATGTTCAGTTCAGTTCAGCTCCTCGCTGCGCACTCTCCTCACATCCTTGTACTTCCTCTCTCCTAATATTCATGATACTCGGCAGTATTTATTTCATCATTGCTTTCTGCTCCTACCTGGCAGCTCAGTCCCAGCAGGACCTGTTCCTGTCTTGGCGGCAGTCACGTTCCCAACAAGGAAAGTACTGCGTAACGCCCAGGGAGCCCCATCAGTATTTGTGACACTGAGCGTCACTGTATGCATACATTGCTACCTGAGGCAGAGCACATCTTCCATAGCCTCTGCTTTAGGGTGTGTGGCCCCCCAGGAATCCTGAATAGCTATGCGCTTGGAAATAAAGCCAACCCCAAACAAAAACAGACTTAGGCCTCTAAGAAAGAAACTTCCAATACGGGTTTTGACCCCAAAAAAGAGGAGAAAACGTGAGGTAAATATATGATATATGTTTAGGAGAAGCCCCTGCTGAACAGGAAAAAACAACACAAGATTGGTTTGGCTGGAGATGGGTTCTCTGGGCAGGATGGCAAGAGAAGGGAGAGAAGTCACGGAAGGCAGCTAAGCCCGGAAATAGCTTCTGGGCCAACAGACACAAGTGTTCGGCCGTGGAAAACTGACCGGGAAAGGCCGGAAGACAAAGCAACCATGTCTTGAGCCGAGAAAGACAGAAGTCAGCTTCCTGAGCCCCCGTGGTTCTTTGGAGGGCAGGCAGCAAACAGTTGTAGAAGCCCAGGGCCAAGCCAGGCAGGGCCACAGCCACAGGGAGGGGAGCCCTTCCAGCTGCTGGCCCGGCCGGGTCGTGTCCCTAGTAGGCCGTGCGGGGGAGCTGAGGGTGACCACTGGTCTCTGCTATCTTTCCATTCTTTTTAAAAAGATGATTGGGGCACCTGGGTGGCTCGGTCGGTTAAGCATCCAACTTCAGCTCAGCTCATGATCTCACGGGTTCGTGGGTTTGAGCCGCGCATCGGGCTCTGTGCTGACAGCTCAGAGTCTGGAGCCTGTTTCAGATTCTATGTCTCCCTCTCTCTCTGACCCTCCCCTGTTCATGCTCGCTAGCTCTCTCTCTTACTCTCTCTCTTGCTCTCTCTCCCTCTGTCTGTCTCTCAGAAATAAATAAAACATTACAAAAAATTTTTTTAAATAAAAAGATGATCAAGGGCACCTGGGGGGCTCAGTTAGTTGAGTGTCCGATTTAGGCTCAGGTCATGATCTCACAGTTGGTGAGTTCAAGCCTCATGTGAGGCCCTGTGCTGACAGTGCGGAGCCTGCTTGGGACTCTCTCCCTCTCTCTGCCCCCTGCCTCACATTCTCTGCCTCTCTTTCTCAAACCACAAATAAATAAACTTTAAGAAAAATAAAAAGATGATCAGAGCATATACATTTAGTACTCTTCTATCTGGAAACAATCTCTTATGGACAACAGTTCTTACCCAGGATTCCAGAAAATCAAGATTTTTTATCATCTTTCTCTAGTTTTTTTATAGCAAACTTGCCATTAATTTACACTCTCTACAGCAAGTTCCTGTTTTCCTGGGATGCTCATTAAAAAAGATTCTTTAGGGACACCTGGGTGACTCAATCCATTGAGTATCCAGCTTCAGCCCAGGTCATGATCTCCTGGTTCATGAGTTCAAGCCCCCCATTAGGCTCTGTGCTGACAGCTCAGAGCCTGGAGCCTGCTTCAGATTCTGTGTCTCCTTCTCTCTCTGTCCCTTCCCTCTTACAGTCTGTCTCTCTCTCTCAAAAATGAATAGACTTAAAGAACTTAAAAAAAAATAATAATAAACAGGTTCCTTAAATCTGTGCTGTGGTCTGCCAAAGTAGAAAGAGTTTCTGTGGTTATTTTAGGCTTTCATTTAGGAAATAAATAAAGAGAACTCATATTTTCGTCTTTATAGCTCACTTCAGGTGCAGTTTTTTTTGCTAGATACATGGAAGCAAATTATAAATTGACTAGTACATTTTTTTTTCTCCAAAGAACATAGGGTTGTTCTGGATCAGAATTCTCTTTAGAAACATGAGCGGTGATTTTGTCCAGACCCACAAAAACTATAACCCCAGAGAGCACACTGTTATGGGTCTTAATGATAAAACTGTTAACAAGTAGAGAGAAGGAAGGTCTTCTTTTGTGCCAATACTACCCTCTACTGGAACATGGGCAAGAGAAAAGAGCTGGTCTTTGCAGAGTTGAACTCATGTCTAATTTGTTGCAGAACAGAGCATTTGCACAGAAGCAGATTTATGTACATTCCGCTTCAGACATCCCTGGAGCATACATATAATGAACTATTGATTAGGCTTGTTGGCATTGCATTTCAATAAATTTTCACATCTGAAATAACATATTGTGCAAGAACTTCTTAGCTACAATAGAAGATTGTAATCCCAAAATGTGTACAGTATGCTGTACAAAGAAATGCTGCTATCCTAGCTGTATTGATTTCTTCCTCACCCTGTCAAAGGCCAGCAAACTAAAGTAGGAGAGGAACCCATCTTTTAAAGACCTTCAGTTATTTACTGCCTTAGGTTTGTGCCTAATCAGTTTGAGCCCAGATTATAAAAAAAAAAAAAAAAAAAAAAAACCCACTCTACATTCAGTTAGGATGTGAATCTAGGGAATGCTTTTCCACAAAAAATAAAAGGTGGGGGGAGGGCATCACTGTACGTGGTACTGTAAGCAGCTATGTGACATAACTGGAAAATCATATGCCTTTTTTCCCCCTGAAGAATCAAATTATCAAATATTATCTTGTAACATTAAGGTTTTAAGTGTCCTCTGGGATGAAAAAAAGAAGACAATTTATAGGAACATATTGAGTTCACGTGACTCAGTAAAAGTGCCTCCCAGTGGGTTCGGGAACTCATGTATAAGAATACTGGTGTTGGGCTCCTTCTGACCCCGAGGAGTGACAAGTTAGGGGTGCAGAAGGATTCATTTCCATCCCGTTAGTTCAAGATGCACTCATTAAATTAATTGGCACTCTTGAAAAGAGCAGGGTAAAGTGTGCATGCAAATGTTTTATATATTTACCCCCTGCCTCGAAACTCGAGATCAATACCCTGCACCACCCTCATTACCAAGAATGAGTGCTTTCAGGTTCATGTACTTGTTCAAATTCTAAAGGTGATAATTTATAAAGGAAGACTTTTGTTGTTGTTGTTCAGGGACGGTTATGAATACTATCTATCAAGCAGAGGAAATGATATTTTTAATTTTTACTTTTGCTTACTGTTGAAAATCTCTTATTTCTTATTAAAGGCTGCAGGTTTTTCATAGTTACAATTCAGAAGTCAACTCTATTGTGAACATAAAAAACAAGGCTCCATTTGATCATAAAAGATAATTATCCCGACATCTTTGCAAAAAGAGGTGTTTATAATCAGTTAATTAGTGAGTTTCCAATTTACATTGTGCAGGGAAGTTGTGGTGTCACAGCAAATACGAAAGACTATGTACAATAGTTTTCTTCCTTTGTTTTTAACAGCCGGTGAGAAGAAGGTGACCTGGGGAGTAAGATAATTAACAAATTGAGCATTAGGCTCAAATGTGTCTCTCCACAAGGACCCAAAACAACACAAGGTGTAATAATTATTCTAAAATAAGTAAATTTAAAAATACAAATAAGCTATCTTAATAAGCATTATTTTTGAAGAAAAAATGATATGCAATCTTCCATAACAGATAAAATGGTGAGGAAACAAAATGGTCGGCTCTTAAGGGACCAGATTTATTAATTTGGCTGTGCCTGATACGTAGATTAATTTAAGCAAAGTCACTACCTAGCCACAGTTTCAGCATCGTTACCTGTCCAAGTGTAGTTGGGTGACGTGAAGTCAGGGCTGTCATTTTTGTGAGTCACCACAGTATCCCCAGTGCCTAGCACTCAGTCAACAAAGTAGAAGAACTTGATAAATATTTGTTTAATGAGTGACCCTGTATGAGTAATAATGCACTCCTATCGCCAAATTGTAAACAAAAAAAAAAGGATGTCTGTGAATTAATTTGAAAAAGCCCTTCAGGAAATTACCATTGTTTTCTGTCTATAGGAACATCTTATTGTATGCATTGCTCTTGTAGAGTCCTACAGGGAAAACATCCCTTCATCCTCTTACATTAGTAAAACTGGAAGACCACATCCAAGGCAATCACACAGTGTGTATTTGAGATGTACTCGTCATAACATTTTGCCAAGTATAGAAAGAATTTTCAGTTGCAACAGACACATTAAAGATTTTCTTTTTAAAAGAGGAACAACCACAAAACAAAAATGCCATCATCTTCTACACCTGTTTCAGAGAATGGTACTTTTATAAATAAAATTTGCCTGCCTTTGTTTGGAAAGCTCAAAATCACCTCATAGCCCTGGAAGTTTCTTTGGCTAACATTTCAACCATAACTCCCATGTCCAGAAGGCATAATTTCAGACTGTTTGCTCTAGTCAAATGGACTTTGGCTGATACTTCGCACATGAATATCGTACAGCAGTTCTGCGGGTTTCCTCTGGGGCATCAGTGTGTGGGGACAATAACGGAATTGAGAAAGTGGAAAGTCGACAGTGGCTAATGGGTCGTGTGATAGGAAGAGACGGGGCCAGTCTAGTAACTGTGCCCCTAACCTGGTTTCAGTGGAGGCTCTAAACCCTTCATTGTGTTTTACAGGATATGAATGATTATCCTCCAGTATTTAGTAAACGAATCTACAAAGGAATGGTGGCTCCAGATGCTGTTAAGGGCACACCTATCACCACCGTTTACGCTGAAGACGCAGACCCTCCTGTAAGTAGAAAATGTTGATTAATACTCTGAGCTCTAGTGAAGAAAGCCTTGCATGCTCACAAATGACACAGTTTCTGGGACAGCACATCAGAATTGAGTTCCACTCTATTCTCAGTCGTTTTGTGTGCTCTCGCCTGTTGCACCCAGAGGCACACCATATTGCAAAGGATTATTGTTGAACACAGTTAAGTATATTCTTTTTGTTTTGCTGGAGTTCAAAGTCTACAATTCACCAGTTTATCTAGCACTGATAATAAATATATTTCGATGGGGCGCCTGGGTGGCTCAGTCGATTAAGTGTTTGACTTTGGCTCAGGTCATGATCTCACAGTTCGTGGGTTCGAGCCCCGAGTTGGGCTCTGTGCTGACAGCCAGCTCAGAGCCTGGAGCCTGTTTCAGATTCTGTGTCTTCCTCTCTCTCTGACCCTCCCCTGCTCATGTTGTCTCTTTCCCTCTCAGAAATAAATAAAACATTAAAAATTTTTTTAAATATATGTGGAAGGAAGTCTCTGTATTTGGAATCAGCATCTTTTGGGTTCTTTATCTGGAACAGTAGAAGCTATGTTTAGCTGGGTTTTATCAGAATGTATTTTCCATTTTACTCGTATATGAGTGTTTTGGTAGCAAATCCTAGATCAAGAGGTGACATAATAATTATATTGAATGTGTTACTTTGGGTAAATTAAAATATTACTATTGCTTTTAGAACATACTTAATACCTTCTTTTTAATCCAGAATTTTACCTCTTTTGAGATATCCCAAATTGCCTTCCAAAATAGAGGGTTTTCAATGGAAACCTTATTATAGCAGACATGAAGTAAATGTTCCTTAGTGTTATTATTTTACTGTATTAAAAGTAGCATATAGAAATAATAGCACCCATATACAAATGCTTTCTATAAATAATTTGAGTGCTTTATAAAAATTATTTATTCTCATAATAGCCAAATGATGAAGATTTTAAATGTTTTACTGTGAGGGAGCTCCCACTATTAGTCAGTGGCTAATATATTCTAGAAAAATAATAGAAATATGTAATAAGCTATTTTAGCAAAAATAATAGAAGACCAGAGTTTTATAAGTGATTTAAAAGTCCTGCTTTACATTGCTTATATAAATACTATTTGTACAATGCTATTTATTTAATAAGAGGTGAATGGCAATCATAACATATTTCAACTTCAACCGTGACAGGACGCATAAAGTCTTTTGCGACTATAAGGTCTTGACAAATAATAATGTTCACATGAAAGCAATGACCTTTCACTCAGAGCCTCCTTTTCTTCTGCTTTAAAATGTCTTTGAAACTGATTTATTGCATTTTGGGAAATATGGTAGGTGAAATTTCATAGATGTGAGCACACCAGTACAGATGCTGAATGTGACATTGGTTCTTCTTCTGCTTTTTAAGTAAACTGTCAGAGGCAGAAAATACTTTGAAATTACGAATACACATTCAGTTCTATTCAAGACATGTGTTTTGAACACCAAGCCCAGACTGATTATTGTGCTAACCAGTTTGTGCTCTCCAGTGCTGACAATCTTACGGGAAAAACTGAACTGTGCATAGAAATGATAACACGCTGTACTAAATGAGGATAAAGAAGACCAGAATCTTAAAATGCTCACATTTCTGAGAATTTCGTGTTAGCCCAGAATTTAAGGTAGTGTTAAGATTGATGGTATTGATGATGAAGACTAATGTAGGTGTGCTGGTCGCCTCACTGGGACAGGCCTTAGTAGGGATGATGAAATCCTCATTTTGCCTTTGGCACCTGCCACCACCGTGGTCCCTGATTTGACTGACACTTAAGTCACCTCACTGGCATGATAGAAGTGGTCTTGGTCGGTTATCTGTTCTGTAGAGAAATGCTGTTACTTATCCAAGATATGCAGAGAGAAGGCCCTGGTTTTTATGCCCTGAAGCTCTTTTATGGAAATTCACCAGGTTCAAGTTCCACACTTCTTTTAAGGTCTTTGGTTTGCATTCCCCATAGTAGCTCTCAATGTTTAGTATCTCATGCTGGCTTGTCAGTAGATGAAAGGCAGATGCCAGTCATTCAGTTGAAATACTGAGCGTATTTATTTCAGTTAGTGAATATATATTTTATGAAACTTGGGCTCTTTTTTGATTTCAGTATAGTTAGTATACGGTGTTGTATTAGTTTCAGGTGCACAATATAGTGATTCCCCAATTCTGTACATTTTCAGGGCTCATCACAACAAGTCTGCTCCTTAACCCCCATCACCTGTTTCCCCCATCCTCCCAACCTCCCCTCTGGTGACCATCAGTTTGTTCTCTATAGTTAAGAATCTGTTTTAGGTCTCTCTCTCTCCCCCTCCCTCCCTCCCTCCCTCCCTCTCCTCCTCTCCCTCACTCCATCTCTTTTTCTTTGTTCATTCATTTTATTTCTTAAGTTTCACATATGGGTGAAATCATACAGCATTTGTCTTTCCCAGACTGACTTATTTCACATAGCATTATACTCTCTAACTCCAAACATGTCATGGCCAATGGCAAGATTTTATTCTTTTTTATGGCTGAGTAATATTTCACTACATATCTATTATCTATTACATATTACATATTATATGTATACACACTATCTTCTTTATCCATTCATCTATTGATAGACACTTGGGATGCTTCTGTAATTGAGTTATTGTAAATAACGGTGCAATAAATACAGGGCTACATGTATCCATTTGAATTAGGGTTTTTGTATTTTGGGAGTAAACACCCAATAGTGTGATTCCTGGATAGTGTGATATTTCTATTTTTAACATTTTGTGGAGGCTCCATACTGTTTTCCAGAGTGGCTGTACCAGTTTGCATTCCCACCCACAGTGCATGATGGTTCCTTTTTCTCCACATCTTCTCTAGCACCTGTTGTTTCTTGTATTATTGATTTTAGCCTTTCTGACAGGTTACCAGACTCCATGTTGATCCTTGACACACCCAGTCTTTGGGCTACCTAGTACTCATCACTCAGTTTTCTAATCATTGCTGCAAGTTGGATCCCTTAAATTAGCATGGTCACCATTGGGCGGCACCTGCAGCAATCAGAAATAAAGGCTCAATTATTGAGCCATGAAAAATCTCAGAAGATAAATATTGCACAGTTTTCAAAAATATGATAGATTTTTACTTTTATTATTTTATGTTGGTGCCATAAATACAGAATAAATATTTTGGGGACGAACTCGAAAGTGTTTTCTACATTGTTGCTATCATAAACATTTAGTGATGAGAAGATACCATTCAGGGCTCCATGCGTAAGTAACTATGGAGATACATTGTGTATTGAATGGTCTCTCTTCCAAACTAGGAGCTAAAGTCCTTGAGGACGGGAATCAAACCTTAACTCCAGGCTGGATTCCCATGTCCAACTCAATGCTTGATACTTAGTGGTCTGTTAGGAAACACTTGTTAAATAATTGAATAAATGAATAAATTCACAGTTATTGTTATCCTCTTCAGAACTGACAATGTGTGCCAGGTATTCAGAAACTGGGGGACACGTTTGCATATCTGCAAGCCCTAGTCTGGCCATCAGAGGGCTGTGAGGTTATGGCGGGTGGCATGTGCAGTGTTGTGTGCTGCTTCTGCACTGGGCATTGCTACTCTTGAGTGGTAATCATGTTCACCAGGAGGGGCTGGCCACCTCTTCTTTAAAGCATCATGTGTCTTCTGAATGAAGTGTGAACCACCTATTTTAACCTAGAAAATAGCAACAACAAAGTCCTTTGAAGTATCAGATGGAGAAACTGGGTAAGGTCTTAGAGCCAGAGAGAACATTGTTGCTGAATATAAATTAAGAATTATAAAATGCATATTGTGCAGAACTAGAGTGCTCTAGAGGGAAGGGTTGTTGTTGTTTTTTTTAATGTTTTTTTTCCCACTGAATTAAAGCTATTAGGACTTTATTTTCTGCCTTGTTTTTGTGACAGCTTTGGCATTATGTAGTTCACCAGAGATGTGAATAGGGAATGACTGATCATTTTGGATATTAAAAATTGCTAACCTTTTCTTTCTGCTCACCAGAGACTTCTCACTCCAGACTTTGACAAAACAAAACTGCAAGTGTAATTTTCATTTGCATATTTTATTCTTTCTGAAGCTGCAAGCCAAACCCTGGGATTCAGGGCTTCTCTTTGCGGGCAGGGCAAGTGCCTAATGGAGTGATGTCCCTTGTGAGCATGTGGATGCGGAAAAGTTGGCATAAATAAATGAAATTTATATTATTGCTCATTTCCAAGAAAGTATGAGGAACCCACAGAGGATTTTTTTCCTCATTATTATAGTACTTTTTCCAGTTAATACATTTTAGGGATTTATAAGATTCCTATTGAAAGTAGTGATTGGGAACATGTTCAGTATTAGCAGTTGTGACAAACTTCCTTATTTGCTTATATTGGTGTGAGAATTACTGAGACATTGAAGACTTCTTTTTTCAGGTTTGGATGTTCATTTATGAAATAAGTATGCTCCTTAATTAAATGTTGAAATTTCTCAATAGTAATTGGCTTTAAAAATCAGTTGAGTGGGGTTTTTTGGTTACAAATAATTTGGGATGCCTGGGTGGCTCAGTCGGTTATGCATCTGACTTCAGCTCATGTCATGATCTCATGATCTCACAGTTCATGGGTTCAAGCCTCGCGTCGGGCTCTGTGCTGACATCCAGCTCTGTCAGGCTGCTTCTGATTCTGTATCTCCCTCTCTCTCTGACCCTCCCCTGCTTGCGCTGTTTCTTTCTCTCTCTCTCTGTCTTTCTCTCTCTCTCTCTCTCTCTCAGAAATAAATAAAACACTTAAAAAATCTTTTTAATAGAGTTCAGACAACCTGCCTGGGATATTATTTTTAAAGTGTTTTCACAGGTGGCTTTGACATCCTTCCCTGTCATTCCAGTGCTGTTAGTCTCTAGAGTAAGAATGACACCCAGTCTCCTCTCTGATGCGTGCCTTGTGTTTTACTGAATCAACATGGTGTCACCAAATA